CTAATCATCTTATTCAGCTTGTGAAACGTCCCGACCTTTTTCGAAAATCAAACCACAACTCAAACCCAAAACCAGTTATTCCGGAGCAACCAAACCATTTTTTTTTTAAATAAACAAACTGACATTACTTAAGATTTCCAAACGAAATGCCCCAACACTTGGGCAATCATTATCAAAATACTTAAAGCAACTTAACCCAGAATCTTGAACCTTGAATCTCCAGTACATAAACTCATAATCATGAACAAAATAATTAACTCATCTAACTTGACTCCTCACAAGCTCTTTGACTTCTCATCAGTGCTGGTACGGCTGCTCGCATAGCCTTGCTCCTTCTTGGCGTCCACCACCGCTAACCCATCCTCAACCTGGTGAGTGAGAAGGGGTCAGTCTCGTCGTTACTTTCTAAGGTCTTTGCCTAAGCAAGCCCTACTAACACATTATTAGAAATTACTTAATCCGACATGGAAGCCGTTCTCGCTCTCATCCTTAATATTTTAGTCTCTGATAGCTTATAGAAGTTCTGTACTTCTATCTTAATTTATATACTTATTACTAGGGTTCACCGCGTTACGTATCGCCGTCCAGTGTCCCTATCCTCAAGGCAATGGTACTGCGTTACGTATCGCCGTCCAGTCCATGCCCGGTCAACTACTGCGTTACGTATCGTCGTCCAGTAGTGACCCGACCATCTACCGCGTCCAGTAGTGGCCCAACCGCTCGGGGGTTCAATTACCAATAACCATGCACATTCATACACACACAAGCACAACGCGTGCCTCCACCTTAAGTAGGCGGTGGGATGTCTCACACACATAATCGCGCTTACTTGAAAATTAACGAAGATAACTGAATTAAAAGACATAAAATAAAAGACCTCGACAGAGATTTTACCCCCTTTACACTCACCTCGAACAGACGACTCTTCTTAATTGCCGGTTGACCCACGTCATCCTCCGAAACTCCACGCTCCAACTCCTCGTGCTTCGCTTCCTTTTTCATTTCCTCCTATTAGATATTTAGGCAAAACTTAACTCACTTATCTCTAAGCGTAACTAACCAAACCACCTTCAATTTGGTTAATTTCAACCCCAATTTCCTCCATTTAATCTTTCCTAGGATTCCCCATAACATTATGAAAAATTACCCTTTTTGCCCCAAAATGGCGAATTACAAAATGGTACCCAGAATTGCTCAATTCAGTCCCCCATACCAATTTCCACTTCCTGATTTAAACATTTTAGTCCAAACGACTTATTTCCAATCCGACACCCAAACATTCACTAATTGCAACTCACCCCAAGTCTGGTCAATTACTTTACGGCACCCAAACTTATTAAATTTACCAAATCGCTCCAACTCCTAAAAGACATATACGCCCCTAACTATTCATCAAATTTATAAAACCATGCCCTTGAACTCCAACAAAACGGGAGATTGTTACCTCAATCCCGCCGCTGCCGTCGACCTCCAAATCCCGGCCACCATCGAGTTCCTCCTCCGGCTCCGGATCCTCCTCCGGCCCCTCCTCCGGCTCGTCCTCTTCTTCTTCCTCCTCGAACAGCCGTGCTCCGCCGACGGTCTCCGTGGAAACTCTGCCACCGCCCTGCCCATCGCTCTTCCTCGGGCCACAATTGGGAGGCCAGCTCCGGATTGCAAACGCCCTTGGTCGCTTCGGAGGGTAGACCTGCCTCCTCTGGTCTCCCCTGCTCTATTAAACGCCTTGTCGACGCCGGGAACGACGAGAACGTCGAAGTCACCGTCGAGATTTGTCATCGCCGCTGCGTTCCTGGGACTCCTTGCGCGTCCACGGATCGCCCGCCTTCCTCCTCTCCTCAGGGACCGCGTCGTACTCTTCATTCCAACTCCGGGTTCAGGTCAAACGAGACAACCACCAAGCTCCTCTCCTCAATTCGTTCTCTGCTTCCCAACTTGTTTCTCGCGCCTCACTTCCTCTTCTTTCCTCACATCCGTTTTGTTGGAGAGGGAACCAATCCATTCTGTCCAAACTAATTGCTTCCGTTACCTTTGATTCCCTCGGTGAAATTCCAACCGCCTTTGGACTCTGCTTCAGTTTCCCTCGTCGGCGGCCATCCACGAGAAGGCAATCTTCTTCTTCCTCCTTCGCAAGCCGCTCTTCCTTGGGCTCCAGCCTATCTTTCCTCTTTCCTTTACACAACGGGCTTAGGCCCATCTTCTTTCTTCTTTCCTCCGGGACGCCAGCTAGCCTCCTCCTTCCCTCTTTTTTCTTTTTTTCTCTTCTTCTCTGACCCGGGCCGCCAACCCGCTTCTTCTTCCTTTCCTCGGGCCTCAGGCCCGCCCCGTCCTTCCCTTCCTTCTCCGGTCCGCGAGCCCAGTCCACTCCTCTTTCCTCTCTTCTCATCTTCTCAATTCGGGACAAAGCCCGTTTCCACTTATTTCACAACCTGGCCACTCACAACCCAGACCCTCTCCTCCTTCTCGGCCCAAACCAACCCATAGCAACTAGTCACAATTTAAAACATCCGTAACCTTCTCGTTTTATATCGCAATTCGACACCGTTCGAACCAATAGTTCACGTTTTTAATCCTTACTCGATATTACGATGAAACTTGATCAATTTATCGAAGGGTAAAATAGTCATTTTGACCCTTAGAAAGATCGGGGTGTAACAGCTTGGGTGGAGTCTTGGTGAGAATGTCCCCTCCTAGGCATAGAGACTCGATCACCCTCTGACTCTCTAGGATCAGAGCATTGTAGAAATTCCCCACTGTAAATGCATCACTGAAACTGTGATGGGGACACTACCAGAAGAATCCCGATTCCCACTCCCAAGCATCACTTAGTGACTCATCTGGCTCCTGGCGGAAATGAGTAATCTCCCGCTGAATCTCTGTGGTCTTCGAGGCCGGATAGTACCTATGCACAAACTTGTCGGCCAAGTCCTCCCACGACATGATGGAGAGTGGGGGTTGGGTCTCTAACTACCTCTTCGCATGCCCCGCCAGAGAATGGGGCAAAAGGTGGAGACGGATCGCATCATCGGGTACACCATTCATTTTGAATCCATTTGTCAGCTACAGGAATCGGGAAAGGTGCACCCTCGCCTCCTCATCCTTCAAGCCATGGAACTGGGTAAAGGTTGTAATCAGTTGAATCCAGCATGGCTTGATCTCAAAGTTGTTTGCTGGAATGGGCGGATAAAGGATGACGAGACGGATGTCGGCGACCCGTGGAGTGTAGTAGTCCTCCATAGTAGGACCCGGCGGCGGTGGTGGATGTTGAGCCCCATTTGCTTGGGGAACTGGGTTGTTCCCCAGGATCTGATTCATTGGGGGAACCTGCATGGGCATCCCGAGGGGTTGGTTATGCCCCAGGTTGAGGTTCCCCCTGTTGTGCTCGTCGCCCATCTCGTATTCCTCTTCGGAGTCGCTGCTCAGATGGCCATCCATGTGCACTTCCTCCGTAGCCAGTCTCGCTCGATGTTGTCTCCTTAGTTGTCGACATGTGCGTTCTAGCTCCAAATCTAACAGTAGTAAACCTCCCGACTGGCTACGGGTCATGCACTACCTGTACACAGCCAAGCAAGCAAACCCGTGAAGGCACAAAGGGGAAAAAGCAAACAATCTATGCGGAAAAGAAATGCTAAAGTAATAGAAATCACGTTTCTTCAACAACCTAGCCGTCCCCGGCAATAACACCAAAAACTTGACACGCTTCTACCGTCACACTAGAAAGTGGCCAAGTGTAACCACCTACTAATGCGTAGTATAGCGGGTTCAGTTCTAAATGTCAACCCGGGTCCTAGGTGTGATGACTACTTCGTGAAAATCTTATTATTTGGCGGTTCAAGTGCAGTGAAGGTTTAATTAAACTAGCAAGCAAAAGCAGTGAAAGTTGTGTTCAAGGTGAGAGAGGTCACCCATATATGGTTCCCCCTAGACTGCAGTTAAGCCAGGTTGTAATTCACCGTGTTCAAGTTCAATGATAGTTATACTGCTGGAGGTTCTTAAATAGTCTGCAGTCTCGACTAAAGGTCTCCAGATCCTCTCAATCAGAGTCCCCAGCGGGCGACTAACCTCCACCGGAGTAAACAGATTGAGGCCCTAACGAACCAAACCTCCTCTACCGAAGTAAATCTGGTACAGAATAGTGAATTGACTCCTCGACTAAAGTCGTCAATTCACTACCTTCAATCCAGGTTGCTCTATCAACCTAGGCAGATATTCTCTTTCTAGGTCAAAGCAGAAATAACATGAATTTGATCAGGATTCATGCCATTCAAGAAATCAAACCTCAATTGAATATAATCATATCACTGAATCCATACTTGGGTTCATACAATCAGGCCGAAATAATTCATGCACCCAACTCAGAAACTAGTCTTAAGGTGTCGGATTTTAAATTTTAATTTGTAGAATTAGTGTAATATGATGATATAACATATGATAACAACTAATTAGCGGATTACCCTAAGCCCTAGACCTCCAATTTTGAGTTCTCTCCCTAAACCCCAAATTGTTAACCCTAACCCTAACCCTAAATCGCTAAACTCTAAATCCTTCAAATTAAAGTAAATCTTTAATTGTTTTTGTGCAAGTTCATGAGCGTTATTGTTCATCACATCATAATTGATGATTAACATCATTTTGACATAAATCGCATGTTTAAAATGACGGTTGTGAAGCGAGTGCACTGAACGCACCAAAAAAAGTGAGTGCACCGAAGGCGCCACCTTTCTAACTCATACTATTTCAGAAAAAACTTCTCAAATTTCAAAAAAGTTCCACAAATTTGCAAACAAATCTCAATAGTTTTAGGGCTAATACCACTAGGAAACCCGAACTATTAAGAATGTGCCATTTGTGTCCTAAAGTATCTAATATGACATTTGTGTCCCAACTTATTATAATTTTTTGTGTCATTTATGTCCGAACCCGAACTATTAAGAATGTGTCATTTGTTAAATACTAACGGTCAACGCCGATGAATTCTAACAGAAAAATAGTTTAGGATACAAATGTCATATTAAATACTTTAGGATACAAATGACACATTCTTAATAGTTCGGAGTGGTATTATCCCATAGTTTTATTCATTTGTGCGCTCCATACATAATTGACTCAACCAAAGCAGTGCGTGGATCTGCTCCACACCAAAGAAGAAAGGGGTACAACAATGGCCAGACAGTGACATGCTTCACGATATACATCACCAGGTCCATTACCACTACGCTTATCTGTAATAACTACTATCTTTTAACCATGAAAGTTGTATACGTCTGTCTAAGCTGTACAAGTGATACAGTCCAACCTCCCTAGTCCATCAAGGTCACACTAGATGATCCATTATCGCTAAGCTCGAATCCAGATTTCTGTGCGAGCTCCGACAGCGTAAGCTCTCCATTCAAAACCTGCCATCCAAAATTACAACACAAGTCAGTCGACTTGCAGCTCCTTACGAAGGAATCCCATGACCACTGGCAGTTGGCACAAGTTATGATCACATTTTCTAACTCAACGCATGTTTTAGCATATAGTCCAATTGGAAAGTTGGGCAGTTCCTCACCTCGCCATTGATCACCCACGTTGGGAAACCCTTGATATCTGCAGCTACACATTCCAGGGCCATTTTCGTGTTTTTGTTCAATCCATCAGGGAAACATTCGACATAGTTCAATAATTTGGCTGCCTCTTCACCAAACATCTGCATCAATGAGACCGAGAAAAACAACTAGTCAAAAAAGCCACTCAACACTTAGAAATATGAAATAAGTCATAGTAGTCCTCTGAAAATCATGATATTTCATTCTAAAGATTCTCTCCTTTAGCTGCTTTCAGTTAGTTTCAAATGTTTATTATCCTTCCTATAGCCTTTACTAGAACAGGTTAGTTTCAAATGTTTATTTTCCTTCCTATAGTCTTTTCTATAACAGAAATGTGGTCAACTGCAGTTACCACTTCTGCACAGTCCTGCAATTTCTTATTCTTGTCATATTATAACAAACAGACACCTACATATTGCAATTACCAGTTCCAATAACCTTTCCACTGAGACGGAATAAGAATAACAAATCGATAAAGCAAGAAAGTATATAAACGAACATATTTGCGTGGTTCACTAACGATGTGTGTTAAGCTAGTTCACGGGTAGGAGAAACTAATTTCACTATTTTGAGAGAATTACATAGAATAGAGGGTTTAGAAGGTTTATATAGACAACTCCTCCAAACTCTAAACGAAATACCAGACGGGTTCAATACATAAGTATAGAAACTCATACACCATTAGCATTGCCCCGAACCCCCCATCAAGGGAAACGTTGAGCCCCCAAGCACCCAAATCTGGCACTTCATCCCTGGACCCCAACTTGCTGGCCAGGTAGCGAGACCCCTGTGACTCCCAATCGATGACAGATAAATAGATTCAAACCATATCAATGTATAAGAAAAAAGTACCTCTTTCTGCTCGATACAGTGTGAACACCAGAATGCCCCGTACATTCTTGCACCAATTGAACGTAGATGCTTTGCAAGAGAAATGGTAAAAGGAGCTGAAGGTGTTGTTATCTCAGTTGGGATATATTCCAGGTTGATTTCAGGTTGCCTGAGAAGACGGAAAAGCCAGCAGTGGACATAAGAATCCGGCCAAGACAGCCAACACATGCATAGAAACTATGCAACCACTACAAGGGTTAAACATCAAAGAACATAGAAGAGGTGTGGAATACACACGATACCTGGGAGTGAAAGGCAGAGGAGCCCCGTATGAGAATCGCAAGCTGGCAATTACCAAGCTTGCTATACAAAGCTGCAACCCCAACACCTTTTGAGTCTCCTGCCACCCAAGTTCCTGAGATAACAATATGCAAATCCCACCATTAGCCCTGTCAGATCCTATGGAAACACCTAATCCAGCAGTTTGCAGGAAGAAGCACAACGAAAAGTGAAACAAAAGAGGGACTAGCAGTAGATAAGCAGACCTTGACGGTGATGAGAAATAGGGAAAAAGATATGAAAGCAGAGAAGAGACAATAAGGACATGATTGTCCAGGGAATTGGGTGGTTAAAATGTAGAGAAGATATCCACTTGTAGCGGCCAAGGAAGTGGTGGCTCCTAGAAGGAGTGTCCTGCTATCAGAGGCTCCAAAGCCAAAAGGCAAGCTATTTTTAGACAACTGAAGAGCCAGTGCAGCAACGAAACCATAAGAAGCCATCCCCAGCAACGGGAGAGGAACACCTGGACGAACATTGTAAGAAGTTGAAGCAAAATCAGAGAACCTCTGTAAATGGGCATGGTAAAACAGTTAAATCCCTTGTGCAAGTGAAGCCTTGGGAAATTATTCATTACCGAAAACAAGGGAGTAATCACTTCCAAGTATGTCGGCACAGCCGCCGGCATCGCCAACAATGCCACCGCCGAGGGGGCAAAAGGCGGTAGAATTAGTGAGCTTAAGGTAAGTCAAGTATGCAGTTTCGACGAACCCTAAACCTCCAAGAGCGGCCGACCAACTGTATGAGGAAAGGCCCGGCGAAGCGGGAGATGATGAAGAAGGCGGGGGTGAAGAAGCGGGGACTTGGGTATCGGGTTTGGTGTCGGGGGAAGTCATGCACTTGACTCTCCATCTCAAGCCCACCTTACAAATGGAATTGAATTGAAGAGATTAGAAACTTGACATCCAAAACAGCAAAAAGAAGGAGAATGGAGGATCAGGCAGATCAAAGAAGAGAATACCTTGGAGTGAAACGCTGCTGAGAGGGGACGAAGAGGGAGTGGGGAAGGAGTTGAGGAGGTCCGAGGAATGGATGTAGCAGAGGATATGCTCATGAACTTCGCCATTGTTGGATGCTATCTCTGTCTCTCTCTGGAGCTGTGAATGTGAGCAAGTGGTCTACTAGACCACTACATTCTTCTGCTTCTATTGGGAGAGGACTGGTCAACCGATCAAAACACCAAACAGCTGGAAGGAAGTAGGGGTGGAGGGCCGGTCGGTTCGGTTATAACTGATAATCAAAGGGTCGGTTATTGGTCAACCGAACTACCTCCCAACCCTACCAACTCAGAAAGAGGGGTTAAGCATTCGATTATCTCGGTTTTCAGTTAACTGAACGGCCCCCAAGATCAAAACCATATCACCCAGTCTCCGAACACCGACCGAGTTTCGGTTATCAATTAGTGGATAATCGGCCAGTTTTGATTGTAACCGATCGGTTAATTGCTAACCGTTAATCGATTGTCCAGCCCTAGAAGGAAGGGTGCAGCACAAAAATGAGTACATATGAATCAGGCCCATGATTCATATGTATTTGAACTCCTACCGGCTACGGGCTTTAATCTAGTTTTTTTTAGCCATTTTATGGGTGGTATTAAGACAGTGCATTATGGGGGACTTAATGGGTGTATTGATGTAGAGGAACCATTATAAGAGACATTGATGCCTTGTATGAGGAGAGGCCTATATAAGGAGTCATCTTCCTCATTTTAACTCATTCCATCATTTTTTAGAATAATACATACTAGAGAGTTCTTCCATCTTCTTTGTCTTTCTTCTTGCTTTCTTTGCTTGCGCGTGAGTTTGAGAGAAGGCTGCTTAGTTCTCTAACGGATTTGAGAGTTAAGGCCGCACGACGGAGAGTAAGGCCATGACATTACCCAAAGGGGATAGGTTCCCCACACCTTTGGTATTTTTACTCTCTATTGTGATGTTTGCTTTTGCATTTTGATTAGAAACCCCATTGTTCAAAATGGTAGGGTCTGGGGCCTTCAGTTTTCTCTTATCTGTTAGCTTGAGGTTTTCCTGAGTTGATACCCATTCCACCTCCTTTTTCATTCTTATGTCCTACATTGCTTGCATGCGTAGATTCACATTGTTGGGGACGGGGACACACTAGGTGCACTTCGGAGATTGGTTTCTCAAGTGAGAGATGTTGTTGATGTCGAATTTGGTTTCTTGGTGTTATGCACCACTCTAGCCCCCCCCCCCCCCCCCACTCCTGTCTCCAAATGTGCTTGCTGCCACTCAAGTTGTCCTTGCCGCGGTTGCGTCTCATTGGTAACAGCTGAGCCACCACTTGATGCCTCTCCAGAGTGAGGATTCTTCTCATGGTGTACATCCCTATTGTGGCCATCTCCTTCCTCCGTATTTAACACATTGAACCGAGAACCAAGATTGTTACTTTTCTCCTTACCCTTCCCTGCTTGAAGTTTCTGGGTTTCTTTTTTGCTATCATCCACTCGCAATAGGGAGTCTCAGACTCTTTCACTTTCAGGGCTAGAGTGGTCTCCGTACTCACTGACTCCACTAACTCATCTTGTGCATTACAATAGCACTTGGTGCGCTCAAAGTAAGTTCCACATTGCAGGTCGATACTTTCAAGCCCTTCGTATTTGATAAAGTATTTTCCACATTTAGAGTGAACTGAGATAGCAAGGACTTGGTGATATCCACCTGAACACACACCCAAGCATAGTCACTTCGAGCTCCCGAACTGGTTGCATGGTCAACTCTAATTGGTTTCCCAATGCGCTGTCAAATTCTCATAATTGCCATCGAGTGAAAATCATGAATCGGAATATCCAATAGCGGAGCCCATAAGAGTGTTGAAGATATCTCATGGTTGTAGGGGTCAAACTCACTTGTCCATGAATGAATTGTAAGATAGTTATCTCCAACGAGCTACAGACCCCATCACCGCCCTATCATAACATATTCCACTCATAAACCTTACCAAAAAGTAGCCTTGCCGAGGTGAAAATATATCGAAGGTCATGTTGTATAGTAAAAGTAGTCTGTGTGTACAGTGTAGGGGCTGTGGTGGGTTTTCTTCTTCCAATTGGTCTTGATGACCTCATCAGTCCCTACCTCTTGAAAAGTATTTAGCCTAAATTATCATCTAGAAATGGTGCTAGATCAGAAATGTTGAAGGTTGCGCTTATTTCATACGCTCGTGGTAGGTCAAGCTTGTACGCATTATTTCCAACCTTCGAAATCACTTGAAAGGGACCTGCACTTCTCGAAAGTAATTTGAATCTCCTTTGATGTGGAAACATCTCCTTCCTCATGTACATCCACATCCAATCTCCTGCTTCGAAGTGTCGAGGCTTTGTATGCTTATTGACGTTCCTCATAATCTGCTATGTTCTCCTCTCGTTGTTCAATCATGCCTTTTCATGGAGATTCTTCGCATACTAGGCCTTATTTGCTCCATCTATGTTGACTTGATCCATCAAAGGTAAAGGTGTCAAATCCAATGATGTAAGTGGATTGAATCCATACACGAGCTCAAAAGGTGAGTATTTGGTTTTCGAATGCACAACCATGTTGTAGGGAAACTCCTCGTGCGGTTGGCAGTCTTCCCAAACCTTGATATTGCTTTTTATCACTACTCGCAACATTTGGGATAGAGTATGATTCACCATTTTAGTTTGTCCATCTGTTTGAGGAGGAAAAGGCGTGGAAAACAAGAGCTTTGTTCCTAGTTTGCTCCACAATGTCTTCCAAAAATAGCTCAAGGACTTCGCATCTCGATCAAACACAATGGTACGTGGCATTCCATGCAACCTCACGACCACATTAATCGCATCATCAGTTTTATGGAATGGAATGAAGTGTTTTGTCTTTGAGAAACGATCCACCACCACATAAATTAAATCTTGTCCACTTCTAGTCCTCGAAAATCCCATCACAAAATCCATAGAGATGTGACCAAGGTGCATAAGGGATAGGTAGTGGCGTGTACAATCCATATGATTGCACCTTTAATTTAGCTTGTTTGCAGTCCACTCATCTAGCACACAAGTTCTCCATATCTCCTTTCATGTGAGGCCAATATAAGTGCTCTTTTAAGCAACTTAAAGTCTTGGCTACGCCAAAGTGAGCCATCAATCCACCTCCATGAGCATCCTTCAACAAAAACTCTCGAAGTGTTGTGCTTGGAATGCATAGTTGATTACCACAAAATAGATAACCATCACTTCTATACAACTTGCATTCTCCATGATTCTAACAAACCTTGTAAATCTCTCGAAAGTCTAAATCCCCTATAAAAGCACCATTGATTTTCTCGAACCCTAGGTACTTAGAATCCATAGTCGTGATTAAAGTGTATCTTCTCGACAAAGCATCCGCAACAATGTTCTCTTTCCCTTGCTTGTAGTTGATCACGTAAGGGAATGACTCAATGAACTCAACCCAATGAGCATGTCTCTTGTTCAACTTATGTTGGGCCTTCAAATACTTGAGATATTCATGATCAATGTGAATCACAAACTCTTTTGGCCATAAGTAATGTTTCCATGTCTCCACTGCTCGAACCAATGCATAAAGCTCCTTATTGTATGTAGGGTAATTAAGCGTAGCTCCACTCAACTTTTCACTAAAGTATGCGATAGCGTTCTTCTCTTGCATTAACACGGTGTCGATTCCCAATCTCGATGCATCACACTCTACTTCAAACGTCTTATTAAAACCATTCAACATTAGAACAAGAGAATGAGTGAGTTTTATTTGAGTAGCTCGAATGCCTTAGTTTGCTCTTCACCCTAATGGAATGTCACATTTTTCTTGATAATCAATGTCAATGGGGCGGCTATGGTGCTAAAATTAGGAACAAATCGTTGATAGAAGCCAACCAACCCATGAAAACTCGGGTAGGCCATGCTTGAATTGCCTTCACCTTCTCATCATCAACTACAACTCCATTAGAACTAACCACAAATCCCAGAATTACCACACTTGAAGTACAAAACATGTACTTCTTAAGATGTTCATAGAACTGCTCCCTCCTCAAAGTCGTCAATACATCTTGTAAATGATCAAGATTTCCTCCATGTTCTTCGAATAAATCAAAATATCATCGAAGTAGACAATCACAAACTTCCCAATAAAATTTCTCAACATGTGGTTCATCAACCTCATGAATGTGCTCGGCACGTTACTCAAGCCAAAGGGAATAACCATCACTTGTGTAGACCATGCATTGTCTTAAAAGCGCCATTTCATTCATCTCCTTGCTTCATGCGAACTTGGTGATAACCTGACCTCAAATCAATCTTCAAAAACACACTAGAACAATGTGAGTCGTCAAGCATATAATCTAAACGAGGTATAGGATGACGATACTTAAGTATATTTGGTTGACTGCTCGGAAATCAACACACATTCTCCATGTATGGTCCTTCTTTGGCACGAGGATGACAGGAACTGCGCAAGAACTCATGCTCTCACGAACATGTCCTTTCTTCATTAGCTCATCAATGTGCCTCGTTAAATTCTTTGTATCCTCTAGATTCGTCTTATAAGCCTCCTTATTAGGAATGGTATCTCAAGGAATGAAGTCAATTTGAAACGATTGGAGGTCGAAAAGCGTCAAATGTGAAGAAAGGGCAGAGATCACGGGTTGGGGGTGATTTTCACGACCTCGGTCTGTGAAAATAGAGACCAGGCCATGAAGATCACATGATTCCAGGAGCACTTCCATATCTTGCTGGCAGATCCATGATCACGGTCTCATGACCATGATCTTTGTGAAGAGGCCAGTCTATCGAGATCACGACCGCGATCTAAGATCCTGATATATGCTCTCGGGCTGTGTAAAAAGACAGCATCTGAGTGAGAGAAATGAGAGCTGATTTTTGGAGAAGAACTTGGTTCTTTCTGTAGGGGTTCAACTCAAAACACCAAAGAGGATATTCTAGAAAGAGAGTGAGCTTGGAGCTTAATTGGAGGCTTGGTTTGATCTTGGAGTTAATGATTCAACCCTAGAAGATGAAGATCTTGAGTTATTTTTGTAATCTCAATGAACTAGACCTCTTTCTCTTAGGTTGATGAACCCTAGATCTAGATCTTGGTTTGAATTTGATGTATGTGACATATTGATAATTGTCGAAAACATATTGATTATAAGTGCAAAGTGCTTAATGAGATTAT